CTGGCTGGCTGTGCTACTGTGGGCAGGTCAGTGCCTTACCCCTCTGGGCCTCAGTTTCCTCATCTGTTTGGGGAGAAGAGCTGTGCGCATGTGTCTCTGCTTTACCGGCCCATCCCAAAGCCTTTGGTTCACTGCCCGCTGCGTCACACCCCCCCCCGTGCACTCAGCGGGTCCCTGGGCCTCCCCTGGCCCCAGGGTGTCACGTCTGTCATCAGCACCTGTGCTGTGTCTAGGCCTCAGTGGAGGGAGGGAGGCAGGAGGATGGCAGGGGCTTTTACCAAAAGGCTTGGCCTTGGAAACCACCCAGCAGCCTGCCACTGGTTTCACAGATGGCCAAGGTCATGCGGCCCACTCCCCAGAGCCCACTCCCCAGCCCCAAGTGGCCCAGCACCCACCCCGCCCACCACCAGGCACTTGGCAGAGCATGCGATCCTCCTGCCCACAGCCAAGGGTGAGCTGCATTAAAAGTCCATCTCCTACTCCCACCCCAGGGGTCATCTCTGGCTTTCCCATAATCCTCCAGGCTAATCAGATGACCGTTTCCCCAACCTGACCCCTGCCTCCCCCACCTGACCCCTGTCCCCCACCTAACCCCTGGCTCACCTGGCCCCCCCACCTGGCCCCTGCCTCCCCAGCTGACCCCTGCCTTCCCAAGCTGAGCCTTGTCCCCCCACCTGATCTCTGCCTCCTCACCTGGCCCCTGCCCCCCCACCTGGCCCCTGCCTCCCCCACCTGGCCCCTGCTGGCCTCTTGGTCTTGGCTCCAGCAAACCCCAGGCCCCCACTCAGCTGTAGCCCCGGGCACTACTCACCAGTCTCCACTGGACCCGCTTTCACCAGTGCCTGCGCACACGCAGCTGCCTCTGCCTGCATGGCCTCCATTCATTCATTCAATAAACATTTATGGAGCACCTACTATGTACTAGGCGCCAGCTAGGCCCACCCTCCGGCTCTGCCTCCTCCACCTGCTCCTCCTGCAGGGCCCCACGGGGTGAACACTTCCCTGCCTTCCCACATCCTCAGGGCTGTCCCAAGGCGGAGTGACGCAGCAGGGGCCCACCGGGAGATGTGGAGGCTCTGGGTGGCGGGGAGCGCAGCCCCATCAGAGGCAGCCTGTGGGGAGAGGGGTGCACAGCCCCGGCCAAGATGAAAGCAGTCGTGAGCGGGGCCTAAGTGCAGCTCGTTAATCCTCCGCACCACCTTATTATTATCCCACTTCGCAGAGGTGGAAACTGCTCCACAGTGGCTTTGACCTTCCCTGGCACTAGGCAAGAGATGCCATGCTATCCTGTTTCATCTGAGCAGTCGTTTTTAGATTTTTTTTTAAACTAGTTGCAAAAGTTGAAAACTTGGGAGATTTTATTTTTAAAATCCCCATTCTGGAACTACTGGGAACCCTGGGAGATCTGCCTGCCAGGGATCTGTATCCTATCGGGAACAGAGCAGGGGTCACCGGCCCCCGTGGGCCCACCCTCTTCCCTGCCTCTTTGGCTGAGGTTTCCACTGGCCCCTGGGCACTGGAGTTTTCGAGGCCAGCAAGAGAGGAATTCCCAGAGTGGGGACGGTTAGAACCCCAGCCTGTGCAGGGGAACCCATGAGTCTCCCGGTCTGGGACCCAAGGGCACCACCATCCCTGCCTCACTGTTTTGGTGGCTCTGGGTTTTTTGGGGGGCTCAAGAGCTCTACGCTGTATCTACAGGTCCTTGGTCCCACATGTCTACTGAGTTTTGGTTTCTGTGGTCACCAATTCTGCTGAACTTCAAGCTGCCCTGCCCTGTCTGCAACCCCCACCAGCTCGGCTCCATCCAAGCAGGCCCACTGGGGTAGGAACCCCAAACCAGGGAAACACCCAGATGGCCCCCCCACACCTGCCTATTACCTTCTGGGGCTGCTGGCTCTCCAACAATGCTGCTTGGGTTGCTGGGTGGCATTTGGGGCCCCTGCTGGTGTTAACGGGTTACTCACTCCCAGATACAATTCCTGCCCCATGTAACACAGCCAGCTGGCCTGGGCTGAGGCTCCAGCCCAGACTGGTGTGGACACCAGGCCTCAGGCCTCAGCCGCTGGAGCCACAGCCCAGGGGAGGGCCTGCAGCAAAAGGCTCTTGGGGTTCTGGAATAGCCCCTGGCTCCCATAATTCTTCCCACAGACTTTGGGCTCCCCTCACTCTGCTCACCTGGGACTCCTGCCTGTCCCCCCCCCCCCCCCACTGCTTCTCCAGGCCCCAGCACCCCTGGCCCTTGGGCCATCGGGCCACAGCCCACCACAACTAAACCATGTGGCCACAAGGGGTCGCTCTCCTGGCACTGAGACTAGTTTCTCCGGGGCAGGGCTGGGGGGCGGGCAGGGCTGGGGGGCAGGCAGAGGAGCCCATGGAGGCCTGCAGCTGTAGCGCTGGAGAACAAGGAAGCTCTGTCCCTGCAGAGGAGCCCCAGGAACGCCCAGGGGAGAGCTGCCCTGAGGCTGCGGGCTGTGCAGACACCACCCCTCGGGACTCGCAGCCACCAGCTCAGTGTGGCCAGTCCTCCGAGGCCAGCCCTCCCTGAGGCTCTCCTGGAAGGGCGGCCACATTCCTCTCAAATCCCAGCTCTGCCCCTGAACCAACAGCGTGGCCCTGGCAAGCTGCTCCTTTCCTCTGAGTCTCAGCCTCCTCTTCTGTAAAATGGGACTGCAAGGGCACCACCTCAGGGGTCTGGCATGTAGCGTGTGCTCAAGAAGGCTGGCTGCTGCCAGTGTGGTTACTGTGGCCTGGGTCCCCGTCACCTGCTGAGGAGATGTGGCAGCAGGAGAGGGGTGAGGTCTGGCCCCTGACAGGGTCTTCCTTTCATTCTGGAAGGCAGCACACCCCTCCTTGCTTGTCCCTGCCCCCTCATAGGTCTAGTGTCCCCCAAGACCTGTTCCCCACACCCCTTCAGCCTGGTGCCCAGCCTCTGCTTCATCCCCATTGCCAAAGCCCAATGGCCGCCATAATTAACGGATTATCTCAGCGTGACAGCTGCGGGCCTTTGAAAACTGGGTTGAATAACAAGGTCCTGGCATACGGCAATTTCTCCTCTGCTCCTGCTCGCTGGCTCCCTGGTCCTCCCTTCTCTCGCCCTCACTCCGCCTTGTTATGCACGCACATGTTTCTTCCCCTTTCCTTCCTCAAACACCTTCTTCCTCCAGATGGCAAGGGGGCAGGCTAGGTTCTGCTCCCCTACCCGGCCTGCTCTCTGCTGCAGAGACAGGTGGGACTGACCCTCCCCGGCCCCTCCTTGCACCTGGCACTGGAAAAAGCACTTGACACATGTGACTTCTGCAATTTCCTGACACCTGCCTTCTGGGGCTGCGCCCATCCTGGAGCAGAGACCTACCCCTGGCTTCCCCCCGCCCCCCCAGGCCGCTCCTCCTCCAGATCCCCCGCCTTCCTTGGGGTCCTGGTCCCGGCCCTCTGCTCTCCTCCTTCAACCCCCTCCCCACATCTTATACCCTCCTGTGGCTTCTTTCATCAACTTGACCTGCTGACCACGCCCTGGCCACTGCATCCCCGTCCACTACTGGGCTCACCTTCCGAGCCCCCCCATGCCCGCCGCTGCTTTTGCCCACCGTTCCTGGACCAGTCGGAAGCATCCGCAGCTGCTCGGCCCCCTGCACCTGGAAGTTCTGTCGTGTGCCCGCTCACTGCTCCTGCTCTGCTCCAGCCTCCTTCCTCTGCCCGTGCTAATTTCTCAGTTAGCATCCTCGCTGGTCTCTGCCTGCAGCCTCACCAGGATGGGCAAGGGCGAAAATGGAAATCTGAGCGTGGCACTCTCCTGCTCAAAAGCCTTCACTGGCTCCCTACTGACTGGGGAAAATTCCAGCAACAGACACTGAAGCTCTGCCCAGGGGGCCTGTGGCGCTGTTCCTGCTCTCCTTTCCTGCCCTCCTGCCTCCCCTCACCAATTATAATGGCCTGGCTGTGTCCTTCGGGGGTCCCCATAGCCCCCTGGGCTCTCTCTACCATGACCAACATCACAACTACTTCTCCTACCCCTGGACTGAGTTCTCCAAGGAAGGGCCCAGATTCTCCGTTACAGCCCAGCACCAGGCACCTAGTAGGCGCTCGACAGAAACCTGTTAGTGACTGAATGAAAAGAGGCCTGCTCTCTCCCTTTATAGGTAAGGAAACCGAGGCTCAGAGTGATTAATGACTTGCCCAAGATCACACCGTTTGTGCAAGACAAAACCAGGATTTGAACCCAGGCCTGTGATTCCAACGCCAGTCTCTTCCACTCCCTGCGGAGGGCCGTGGGGTCAGCTTCTGCACAAGCCTTAAGGGACTTGAACTGAGATAAGAACTGATAAGGAGATGGGGCTCCCTACCGAAGCTGACCTTGAACTAACCACGTGACTCCCAGGGCCTCAGTCTGCTCATCTGTAGGGTGGGAAGGAGCCCCACCTCACTCCCCGTTTCAGAGGGTCCCTGAGGGGGCCAGAATAAGCCGGTCCTGCCAGTGACACCTGAGGGACTCCCGGCGCCCCTCCAAACCCATCTGTGGTGGCCTTGGCAGGCACTCCTCGGAGCTCGGGGGCTTCCTAGGTTGGGAGATGTCGCACAGGGCAGAGACCCCCACTTTAGCGAGCACTAGTGAGAGAAACATGGGGGTCGGGAGTCAGATCATGGCCTTGGGCAAAAAACTCCCTTCTCTCAACCCAGCCGCCCCCACCTGTGAAGTGGCCCCCAAATGCCCATTCACTAGGGCTGCAGTGGGGCCAGGTACAAAGTGCCTGGCACAGTGGGGGCACGACCATGGCCACACGCCCCTACAGGAGCGTGATCCTGGAGCGTACCCCAGGGACAGAGGAGAGCAGAAGGGCGTGGGACAAAGCGAAACCATCTGCTCTTGACTTTCCCCTCAACAGCCCACAAAATAGAGCTCGCACCCCAAAGTGTAGCCCTGGGGCCCCTCCCTCCCTCTCTAAGCTCACACCCCACGACACCCCTTCACAGCCTAGGGAGTGGCAAGGTTGCCTGCCTGCACGTGTTCCCTGGGCCTTTGCTCACGCTGTTCCCGAGCCTGGGGTGCCATTCCCACACTTCCCCACCCTCTGTAGCCCAGACTTCATGCCTCCTCCTCTGAGAAGCTTTCAGAGATCTCTGCAGGGAGCGGTAGCTTCCCTGCTCTACCCCCATCCCCTAGTCCATCCTCATGGAATCCTGGAAAGATCCTAGGGATTGCTTTACCCCAGCTCTTCTCCCCCTGTTTTACAGATGGGCAAACTGAGGCACAGCCGAGGGACAGAAGCTCCCCAGGGATGTACCTGAACCCAGGTATCTGCTGCTTCCAGCCCAGCAGGCAGCTTCTCTCCTGGACCTAAGCTGCTGTTCAGCCCTTGCCTGTCCTCCCCGAGCCCCCCAACCCAGAGCTACCTGAGGATGGGACCCTCATCTTCCTCTCTGCTCCCCCACCCCAGTGCCTAGCCTAAGGCCTGGCGCATAGTAGGCACTCAGTAAATGTCTGTTGAATTGAATTGCGCTCAGGACAGCCAGTCGTCTCTGCTCTGTAAGAGAAGCATAGAGTTAGTGGAGCTGCTCCCGTGGCGACAGGGGCAGGAACCAAGCTGGTGGGGGAGGAGTCTGGCTTCCCAAGGACCATAAGGGCCCTGGGAAGGAGACAGGGTCTGGGAAGCTGGAAAATTCGGACTTAGATGAGTCCGAATTCTGTCCCAACGGGCAGTATGGCCCTGGCAAGCCATGCCACCCCTAGGGCCTTGGTGGCCTCATCTGTCCAGCGGAGACGACGCTCCAGCCCCCGGGGGCTCCGAGGACTGTTTGCCACGAGGACTACAAGAGACGTGAGGGGCACAAACAGCGACTCCCCCTCACGAGCACTGTGCTCAGAGGCTGACCCACAAAGTCGGGTGGGCAGTGTGCCCAGCGAGGAAACGCAGGAACAGATAAGGAGACTGAAGCCTGGAGATGGGGGTGGCTTGCCCGAGGCCTGGCAGCCCATGCACCTGATGCCATGCTGTACCCACAGTCTCCCTGCAGAGCTGGAGGGGAGCGAGGCGTGGCTACAAACCCCAGACGAAGGTGCTGGTCGAGCCCACCACAGGGTGGCCTGGCCCAGGCCCAGGAGGGAAAAGTGAGGACCATGTCCTCCCTTCCCCTGGGGGTGGGCTCTGTTCCACAGCCCCCAGAGGCTTCAAAGCCATACTGAGATCTCCAGGCTGCAAAGGCCTGGGCCGGCCGTGGTGTTAATGGAAATCAGCAGACTATAAGTACACAGCCAGGTCAGCAGGCCAGGGCCACGCCCCAGGAGCAGGTCCGGGGTGTTGTAACCCTAGCTGTGCCCCACAGTCCTCTCCCCTTGGGCCTTGGTTTCCTCGTCTGTCAACAGCATGCCACCTCATGACCATGATGGCTCAGGTTCTTCACCCAACACCCTGTCACTCCCTGACCCAGCCAGGCAAATGGGAGGGAGGCCCTTGGTGCCCCAGCCAGAGACCTGGGGAGGAGGACGCAAGACGGGCCGCCCTGGGCCCGCCTGGGACAGCCAAGGGAGGGGCTGGGCCATGCCCCTGCTCACTGGCTGGAGCAGGGAGAGACAGGGAAAGGGGCCTGGACCCCAGCCATTCCCTCATTCACTCCCTCAGTCATTCCAACAACCATTCTTCCAGCACCTCCCGCTGCGAGCTGAGGACTCCCAGCCAAAAGACAGCCCCAGGTGGGAGCTCTAGTGGGGAAGACAGTGAGATAAACAAGCACCTCTCCCCCCCGACCCACCCCATCCTCAAGGGCTGACTCCCACGGCCCATCCCATCTTGCATCCAGGGACCCTGCCTTCTGCCTGGCCAGGGACAGGGACAGGGAGGGTGACCTCACTCTCCCTGTAAACCCAGGGCCCAACACCATGCCCATAAATGTTCACAGGCTAATAAGGCACCATGAGAGCATCAAACAGGGTGCCCGCTCAAGCACAGGGCTGTAACATGGGCCTGGGGTGGAGGGGACAGGGCGGGGACATCTCACTTCACCCACCGCCAACTGTGTGCCAGGCCCGCACACTTAATACCCAGCAGCCACGCTGTTACAGCCACTCGAAGGATGAAGAAACGAAGGCTGAGAGAGACTGAGGGATGCGCCCAAGACCCCAAAGCTACAAAGTGGCCTGGCACCCACTGCTCCCCCAAAACGAGACAGGGCTGGTGCACAGCAGCCCCCAGCACAGGTGCTCCAAGCACCCCATGGACGACGTTCGCAGAGTCTGGGACCACCCCCCCAAAACCAGCCGCAGGGGAGGGGTCAGTGCCCTGCTTCCTCATCAAAGCCTCGAGTGAGCCCTGGGTGGCGGACAGACCCTCAGCCACCACCTAGAGAAACTGAGGCTCTGAGCAGTGATGCGGGCCAGCCGCAGGCCCATCATACTCTGGAGGCCCTCTCTGGTCAGCGCACGGAGGGGCCCTCTTGCTGGCTGGTGGTCGCATCTCTGGCCCCTCTGAGATTCATGGGCAAGACGAGTGGACATGGGCCCGGGCCCGACGCTGCCCCAGCTGGCTGGGTGACCTGGACAGGGCCCCACGCTCTCTGAGCCCCAGCGTCCCCAAGACCCATCTTCTCTGCCCCACCCCACACAACTGCAAGGAGCTGAGGGGCAGACCGATGAGACACATCCCCCCTACAAACCAAAAGTGCGGTCCACATTTAGGGGAACTTAATTGTCACTCTTACACTTTCCTCAGCCTTCCTCGACACTTCTCTGCCCTCTTTTCTAGAAAGGCTGCGGCAGGTATCAGAGGCGCGGCCCCTGTGCTATGGACTTGTCACCCATTTTGTCCTCAGGATCCTAGGAAGCAGGTTTTTGTGCCTGCTCTGCAGAGGAGGAAATTGAGGCTCAGAGAGATCCAGCGACTTAATCAAATCCACACAGCAAGCAGTGAGCGCACCCCAGCCCTGACACCACTACGCCCCCGAGCGTCTGTGTGTTCAGCCTTCTGTGGTGGCAGGGTCCTCTGGTTCACTCATGGCCACCGGCCCCTCAGTTTCTCCGACTTCCCAGATGTATGAAATATTCACATTTCCATCATCAGCGGCTCACATACACTTTTCCAAGGCCTTCAGAAGCCCCATTAATCATTCAGACACACCTGCATATTCATTAACTTCCGAATTAATACAGAGTCCCTTATTACTTCGGGCCTGCTGCCTGCATTAAAGACATTCGACTTCATTCATTATTAAACTCCCTGGGTAAACGAGAAATCCCTCCTTCACAGAGGCGGGCTCGCCCAGGCCCGCACACAAGCAGGCAGGTCTGCTCCCAGCCCAGCTGCTGTGTGACCTTGAGCCAGGCCCTCACCCTCTCTGGGCCTCCTGGTTATTTACCTAGTAAAATCAGGCAAAGGACAGTCTCTAAGGTCCGAGCAGCTCCTCGGAGTCAACCCCGTCCCGTCCTTCTGCAGACTCCTGCATCCCTTCCCTGTGCGCTGTCTCTCCTGGGCTCACGTAACCCTCTGTTCTCCGTGAAACCAAGGCACGTCCTCTCTGTAGTTTCCTGATCCTCCAGGGCCTCCCCTCCAGTGGCCTCCATTCACACCGGGGCCTGGGCTTTGCAGACGGTGGGCCTGGGCCCTGGTACCAGCCCATCGCCTCCAGGACGTCATCTGTCCCCCAGGCTAAGCTGGCTCGGCAGACCATGATATGCCCCAAAGCAGAGGCCTCGGACCCCGAAGCCGGGGAGGGTGAGTGTCAGCTGCAGCACGAACAGCGATGGCAGCAACAGTGACAATAACAGCACCCCACATTTCCTGAGCATGGACCAGGCCTTTGCTAAGCCCCGACTTTCCCACCCTCTTAGAACAGCCTCCACTTTCCAGGTGGGAAAGCCAAGGTCGGTGACATCCAGGCATCTCCCAGGAAATGCTGGTGCCAGCTGTAAACCGGCCATCTCTCACTAGGGGTCTGAGTGCTTCACCCTCACCCATGCCACCGGAGGCAGGACCCTTGGATGCCGTCTTGCACTGGCTCTCTCCTTCCCTGATGGCTCTTCTGTGTGCCAACCCTGCCTAATGGAGCTGTGTCCACAGAGCAGGTCCCCCATTGCCTGGCAGACACCTGACCCATCTCCACTGTGCCTGGTGCTGAGCAGGCCTGCAGATGAAGCGTGAGAACACCGCTGCCAGCATGGCCCTGCTGGCTCAGACCTGCCCTCCGCCTCCACCCCATGGTGCCTCTGTGTGGGACCGCTTACTGCCAGCAGGAGCAGGCCAGGCCGCCGTCACCTGAAAATGCTTCGCTCCCCGACAAACTGGCTGCATGATGGTGGGCCCACCACCAAACCTCTCTGTGCCTCGGTCCCATCATCTGAATCACACCTGACTCTGCCCTCTGCCTTATCCCTCATCCCCAATACACCCCGACACCTGTCCAGGCCACACACCTGTGCGTCCAGGCCACCAATGGCTCTTCTCTGAATTGCAACCACAGCCTCCCAGAACCTCCTGGCATCGCCTGGGTTTCTCCCCGCTGCTCTGTTCGGATGCCAGACAGCCTCTCAAAACACCATCTATCATGCATCCGTGGACGGCCCACTCTTAAAGCCCTTCCAGAAGCTTCTGTGGCTCCCAGACTAAAGCCAGAAATCCTCCTTGAAGATCAAGGCCCCACAGGACCTGAGCCAGCCGTCCACGCCAGACCCTTCCTCCTGCTTTCTCCCCAAGGCAGCTCCCCACTCTCCCGCAGTGAATGTCCCCCTTCTCGTCCGATGCCACAACGGGCATCTGTCCCCTACAACAGTGGGGCCGCCCTGCGGGCATAGCCTGTTCCCCGCTGCAGCTCCGGCCCCTGGCCCAGTCGGAACAGCAACCCTGTCAGGCCGAGACAGCGACCGCCCCACACCGGGCGTGCTGCGGTCAGTGCCACCGGGGACCCTGCCAGACCGCAGTGAAGGCCTCGCCGGCCTCCGTCTGTGGGCAGACGCAGTCCCGCTCTTAACAGGATGGCGAGTCGTCCAACCCGCTTCTTCTGTTCTTGATATTTAAAAAATTTTTTTATTGTTTATTTTTAGAGATAGGGGAAGGGAGGGAGAAAGAGAGGGAGAATGACATCAGTGTGTGAGAGAAACATCGATCAGCTGCCTCTCGCACGCCCCCAGCTGGCGACCTGGCCTGAAACCCTGACTGGGAGTCGAACCAGCTTTTGATCCAAAGGCCATCCAGTTTGAAGGCCAGCCGGCACTGAACCAGCTGAGCCACACCAGTCAGGGCAGACCCACTTCTTAAATGAGGAAACTGAGGCCCAGAGTGGTGAAGCCACCTGCCCGAGGGAGGGGGAAGAGCCTGAGACACACCAATACACAGCCACAGAGCTGCTCAGCCCTGGGTCTCACTCCAGTCCCTGCCCCGGGCCCCCGGCTGCCGGGCGCTCTGGGTGCGAGGCTTCCCCCTGCTGGCTCCCTCACCACTCGGCTCTGGGGCAACATGGACTCAAGCCAGGCCCTTCCCACTTGGGGCTCTGGCTTCCACCTGTCGGGGTGGATGAGACACCTGGGGGTCCCTTTCAC